CATACCTGAGTTCAATACCTAGTACCAAAAATAGAACAAGTCCTTCATAGATGCATATTTTGCAAATAATTTTTTCTAGTTGGCGATTTTTAATTCTCTTTTGATTCTTGTGTTTTCATAGGAGAGAAAATTTTTATTTCAGTTCAACTTACTATTTTTTCATATACCATATCTTTGATGTTGTATGGGAAACTTATTGTCAAAACCATAGTCACCTAAATTTCCTCCTATTTTCCTCTAGAAAGCATAGTAATTACAACATCCTTTTTGTGTGTCTGCTCAATTGGTCAATACAGGTGTAACCTCTTGGATCACATTTGGTATGAGAAGTGTATATAGGGAGACTGAAGGGAAGGTGTTTCTTGCTAATGTCAGATTCTCATTAATGAAGTAGAAAATTAACATCACCTTAAAATATATTATCTTGAATTGTTGGCAAATGTGAACATATGTCTAACAATATTTGGAAATTTTTTTTTTTGAGAGAGGGGGAGAGAGAGAGAATTTTAACATTTATTTTTTAGTTTTCGGCGGACACAACATCTTTGTTTGTATGTGGTGCTGAGGATCGAACCCAGGCCACATGTATGCCAGGCAAGCGCGCTACCACTTGAGCCACATCCCCAGCCCAATATTTGGAAAATTTAAGTCAGCTTAATAGTGGCTTTTTAGAACTAGAATAGACCCAATAACTAGTATTATGTTGGAAGTATTAGTAAATTATAGTTAAAATAGCATATGTAAAGCTTGCAGTGACTGAGACTCCTTAGTGTACCAGTGTGAGAACTGATATGGCACAGTTCAATAATTTTGAACTGTAAGCTTTCACAAACCCTTGGATAATGTGATCGGTACAGATGAGTGCCCAAATACCTCTTTCTTGAATTGTAGAAAATCAGGTTCTACAACTCACGGAGCAGGGGAAATGGTGGTGAAAGATAAATGCATTCCCTGTAGTTTATTTGAAATATCTACCTTGTTCCCAACAAGACAGATTGCTTTCCCTACTCAGTAACACCCCCTTGCCCTCCAATAATACCAGTTTTCTTGGTCTCCTAACCTGGACCAGTTGTTCTATAGTCACATGTTCCCTTACTAAACCCTGCCAAAATGTCTCTGTTCTGGATCATTCCCTTTGCTGCTCTTTCCTGTCTTTTGTCTCTTGTCACAGTACCTCAGTGTGAAACTACATGGTAACATGTTTAGGGTTTCAGTGAGGGGGAGGAGGGTTGGTTTCTTTGAATCTTGTTTATTTATTGTCAAAATGAGTAGGTTTTCACTAAGTCTTATTAGTTCCTAGTGTGTAAAAGAAAATGAGAGGAATACCTCATAGAAAGTTTACATAAAACAATGTATGTGAAAATCCATTTGTAAATTGGAATGTAGTATAAATAGATTACTCATAAGCCTAATTCATGATTTTCAAAGTGTGGTCTCTGGACCAGTATCCTCAGCATCCTCTTAACTTAAAGTCCCATTGAATTAGGCTTAACTTTGCCTTCCCTGCCTTGCCCTGCCCTGCCCTGTGGAAACAAATTTTGGGATGAGCTCAGCAATCTTTGGGGTGTCTGCTTATTCTATACTGGGGATTGAATCCAGGGGCACTGTACCACTGAGCTATATCCCCAGCTCTTTTTAATTTTTTGAGACAGAGTTTTTGCTCAGTTATCCAGACTGGCCTAGAACTTGGGATTCTCCTGTCTTTTAAGATTCCAAAGAATCAGGGATTACACGTGTTTACTATCACATGTGGCAGCAGTCTGGATTTTAATACCCAACTCCCCTCCCACGATGTTGATATATGTTCAAGTTTGAGATGTACTGCCCTACTTCATTAAACCTAAAAACCTAAAGACAATTATCTCAGTAACAATACCAAAGTAAAAATTTATTTTCTGAGGGCTCTGGAAGCTAGAGGTTATTAGAGACAAAGGTTCTGTCAGGATTACTTTCTTGTGAGGTCCTTCCTAACTTGCCTTAGCCTGCAGGTGACCCTCTTTTCCCTCTGTTTTCTCTTGGCCTTTTTTTCTGTGCTGTGTGCTCCTGTTGCTACTTCCTCTTACATGGACACCAGCACTATTGATCCCTTATGACCTCATTTAACCTTAATTACCTCCTTAAAGGCCCTGTTTCCAAATATAGTCATAGGGAGTTGAAGCGTCATAATATGAATTTCGTGGTGGTGAGTTATACAACTCAAGTCATAGTAACAACAGTATATCAACAAATTAAAAAATGTTGAGAAAAAAAAATCCTACCTTTTTAAAGGTAAGTTATTTACGTTTTAGAGAACAGGGATGCTGGGGATTGAACCTAAGGACTTCTGAGGCATATTCTGCCACTGAGCTATACCCCCAGTCCTGTTTTACAAAGTTATAATCATTGTAACCAAATATTGTAAAATATCACCAAATTTCCTTTCTTTTTATTTCATGGGTACTCGACCACTGAGCCACATCCCTGGCCCTGTTTTATATTTTTTATTTAGGGTCTCACTGAGTTGCTTAGTGCCTTGCTTTTGCTGAGGCTGGCTTTGAACTCTGGGTCCTCCTTGCCTCAGCCTCCGAAGCTGCTGGGATTACAGGTGCAAATTTCCTTTCTTAATCAATTTTAAATATATAGTTCAGTAGTGTTAAGCATATTTATGCTATTGTGAAACATCTTCAGAACTTTATCATCTTGCAGAATTGAACCTATTCTTATTTAAAAAAAACAACAACAACAACAAAAAAAACCTTACTGGGGTGTAGTGGTATATGCCTACGATCCCAGCAACTCTGGAGACTGAAACAAGAGGATTGAAAGTTTGAGGCCCGCCTCAGCAATTTAGCATGGTAGAAGCAATTTAGTGAGACCCTATCATAAATTTAAAAAGGGAAGGGGATGTGGCTCAGTGGTTAAATGCCTCTGAGTTTAATCCCTGTACCAACCAGCACATAAATAAAAATCTCTTCATTGCTCTTTTCCCCCAGCCCGTTGGCTTCAATTCTACTTTCTTTGCCTTTGAATTTTGACTGCTTTAGAAACCGCATGTAAATTGGAATCGTGCATAATGTGTCCTTTTGTAACTTTTATTTTACTTAGCATGATATCTTCAATAAGTATCCATGTGCTGGCATATGACAGGATTTTGTTTTAAGGTCGAATAGTCTTCCATTATATCTGTATGCCACATTCATCCATTGATTGACATCCATTGATTGGGTTGCTTTCACTTCTTAGCTATTGTGAATAGTGCTGCTGCGAACATGGGTGTGGGTTTGTAAATACCTCTGTGAGATCCTGCTTTAAATTATTTTGGCCACACACTGCAGAATGGGGTTGCTGGATCATATGGAATCTGTTTCCCATAGCAGTTGTACAATTTTACAGTCCCATTCACAGTACATCAGGATTCCAACTTCTCTACATCACTGTCAACACTTGTTGGATTATTTTTATATGATATTCCTGGATTAAAAAATATTTTAGGCCAGGCATGGTGGTGCACACCTGTAATCCCAGCAACTTAGAAGGCTGAGACAGGAGGATCACGAGTTCAAAGCCAGCCTCAGCAAAAGCCAGGTGCTAAGCAACTCAGTGAGACCCTGTCTCTAAATAAAATACAAAATAGGGCTGGGGATGTGGCTCACATCCCTCAGTTCAATCCCCAGTAACTCCCCCCCCCAAAAAAAAATTTAAAGAATTTTTCGAATCCAGTGTTCTTATAACAGTGTTGACCTGTTCCTCCACCCAGGACTAGTGATTGAACCAGTGGCTTTGAGTATGCTAGGCAAGTGCTTTACAATTGAATTAAATCCTCCACCCAACAATGTTTTTATCATAGGATTTTTATCTGAAACCAGGACTCTTGTGCTGATTTTGGAGCACTGCAAGGAGCCTGAGAGAAAGGTGAACAGAAATCCACAGATTTTGTCATGAGGAAAAAAATTAATAGGAAAACAATACGTGGTGCATTTTAGCTTTACTTAAATGCACATTAAGGGAGCAAATAATGAATGTTGGTAAACATAAGGGAAGTGGGAAACGTCTTCTCTAGGATGAAAGGAGGATTTTGGGGGAACGGCCTAAGGGAGAGGGTTCTGATTGCTAGCTAGAAGGCATAGAGATTTTTGCAAACAGGGACTCAAAATTTTGGGGGTGATGAGGCTATCATCTGGGTATAAAATGGCCTCAGAGAGGAAGAAGAATTGAAACCTTAGTAATGTAGGATACCAGTAAGTGTCCTGGTAATGAGAGGGAAAGACCAGTGTTAATTTAAAACAAGGAAAAAAGGATATTCTGTGCCATATGTTGAGAGCACATGGTGTTGCACTTAAAAAATTTGTTTCTTCCCCAGCTTCTTCCATCTTCACTCTGCCTTCTCAGGCCCCAAAACAAAAAAACTACCCATGTGGCTCAGTTATTATTTCTTTAGATCAAGGCTCTTTGGAAAGGAGGCCCACCTAACCACCCATAAGTCTGATATAAAGTCTAATATAATATATAAGTGCTTAGAAAATAAGAGTTAAAAGTAGCTCATTTTTGGTATAATATTTTTGTTCTTGAGTCTTTTAGTCAATTTATTTTGGGGGTACTGGGATTTAACCGAGGGGTGATTTACCACTGATATACATCCTTGGCTCTTTATTATTTGAGACAGGGTTTCACTAAGTTTCTGAGTCCGGCCTTTTTTTTTTTTTTTTCTCCCTCATGGTGCTGGGGATTGAACTCAGGGCTTTAGGTATACAAGGCAAGCACTCTTCCCAGCCCGAGGTTGGCTTTGAACTTGTGATCATCCTGACTCAACCTCCTGAGATACTGGTGTCCATCACTGTGCCTGGCTTAAAATTGAATCTTTTAACTAATTTTAGGAAAACCCCTTAATCTCTCTGGGTTTACTTTTCTCCTTGCTTTTAGGATAAAATACAGTAAAATTCTTTTTAGTTCTTTGATTTGAAAGTGTTAATTTTAAACAAGAGAAGTTAACACATTGAACTTATTTTACTCTCTTTATATAGATCATGGAAGGGAAGTGGTTATTATGTATGTTTCTGGTCCTTGGAGCTACTGTTGTTCAGGCTCATGATGGGCATGAAGATGATATGATTGATATTGAGGATGACCTTGATGATGTCATTGAAGAGGTAGAAGACTCAAAATCAGATACCAGTATGCCTCCATCTCCAAAGGTTTGAAGTAGTTTTTGAATCTATATTCCTTTTCTCTCTCTCTCTCTCTCTCTCTCTTTTTGTACTGGGGATTGAACCCAAAGATGCTTTATCACAGAGCCACATTCCCAGCCCTTTTAAATTTTGAGACAGAGTCTCATTGAGTTGCTGAGGCTGGCCTAGAACTTGCAATCCTCCTGTCTCAACCTCCTGAGCTCTTGGGATTACAGGCGTGTATCATTGTACCTGGCCTTTTATTTTGAAGATAGGGGCTGGGGTATAACTCAGTAGTAGAGCACTTACCTAACAAAGAGGGCCCTATGTTCAATACCTAGCCAACACTATTTAAAGGGAAAAAAATTGATAAATTTGTATCTTTTTCAAAGAAAAAGCAAAGGTTACCAACTTTTTATTAATCTTTCAGGCAATCTTTGTTATTTCTTTCCAAAGATCTATGTGGATTGAAGTTCAAGACTTCTTCCTATGACAGTTTTGTGACAATCAAAACATGGAAATAAATTCCAAGAAAGAGTTGTTGCCAAAATTTTCAGGTTTTTAATCTATTCTTCTGTTTAACACAGGTCACCTACAAAGCTCCAGTTCCAACAGGAGAAGTTTATTTTGCTGATTCCTTTGACAGAGGCTCTCTGTCAGGGTAGGTACATTTTGTTTTTGTTTTTCCCTAGGAAGCTTCTAGGGAGTTGAACATGATATAAATAAGAGGGAATAATAGATCCCTTTTGGATATCATTTTATATAATGGAAATATCTAACCTTTATATTTTCAGTGTTCGTGTCTATTTAGGAAAATATTCTTTTGAAGCTTGTAGTTCTTTCATTCCTTTCCCTTTTCCCCCTCTATCCTATATCATTTCTCCTAACAGATAACTATCATTTGATCATAATTTTGGGGTTTGTCTTAATTACAGGTGGATTTTATCCAAAGCCAAGAAAGATGACACTGATGATGAAATTGCCAAATATGATGGTGAGAATTCCTTTTGGTCTAGATATAATAGCAGATTTAATATAATCTCCATGGAATTTTTTTTTTTTTTTTTTTTTAGAGAGAGAAAGAGAGAGAATTTTATTATTTATGTTTTAGTTTTCGGCAGACACAACATCTTTGTTTGTATGTGGTGCTGAGGATCGAACCCAGGCCGCACGCATGCCAGGCAAGCGCACTACCGCTTGAGCCACATCCCCAGCCCTCCATGGAATTTCTTAATAGTGATTTAAGACAATGAAAAAAAAAAAAAGACTGATTTAGAAGGAGATGTTGGGGTTAGGGTAAAGCTTCGTGGCAAGGTCCTGGGTTTTTTCCAGCCCTGGAAAAAAAATAAAAATAAAAGGAGATATGTTTTCAGATTTTTCCTTGGTGGGCTGCGGGTTTAGCTCAGAGGTAGACACTTGCCTGTCACATGCCAAGTCCTGGGTTCCATCCCCAGCACCACAAACAACAACAAGAAGTTGTTTTTCCTTGAGAGTTGTGCCATCTTTGTGTGATGCTTTATATGTGATGGGGTGATAGAATTAGAACTATTTATTACATATGCTTCTGTATGTTAGAAATGGAAGGTCTTTCCTAGGCAGTGATATAATGAATATGCTGCTGACTTTTTAAAAGTCATGTCCTATTATTTGTCAAATATTCATGTGCCTAAATTAATGGCCCAACTCTCATAGATAAGTGGAATGTGTTAAAATTTGTTAGTATGATAGACTTACACACTTGGAGTTTAGTTTGTTATCATTTAGAAGACCTTAAAAGATATATTTAGGGCTGGTGTTGTGGCTCAGCGGTAGAGCGCTTGCCTAGCATGCACTGGGGTATGATCCTCAACACCACATAAAAAGAAATATATATATCCAATCAATTGGGCTGAAGATGTGGCTCAAGCAGTAGCGCGCTTTCCTGGCATGCACAGGGCACTGAGTTCGATCCCCAACACCACATAAAAATAAAAAATAAAGATATTGTATCCACCTAAAAACTAAAAATATATATATATATATATATATATATATATTTTTTTTTTTTTTTTAAAGATATAGTTAAGGAGTGGAGAGTTCTTTTTTGTGTGTGTTTTCTTCTAGGAAAGTGGGAGGTAGATGAAATGAAGGAAACAAAGCTTCCAGGTGATAAAGGACTTGTATTGATGTCTCGAGCCAAGCACCATGCCATCTCTGCTAAATTGAACAAACCCTTCCTATTTGATACCAAGCCTCTCATTGTTCAGTAAGTGAAATGCATGTTTGGTAAAAGCTTTCTAGAGCACTGGGGGTGTAGCTCAGTTACAAGAGGCACTGGGTTCAATCCCTAGTATTACAAAAAAAAAAAGAAAAACTTTTTAGAAGGGTAATCTCAGAGGATATTATGAAACTATAACTCTAAGTAAATGTATGTGTGTGTGAGAGAGGGAGAGAGAGATTATATAAATTACAATAGATTTCTTTTTTGGGTGAATTTAGAATTTAGCATCTTGAAATTATTATTATTTTTTTCCTGCCCAACAAATTATTTTGTAACAAACTGGCTGTTCATCCTATTGATAGTAAATGAACATCTAGATTTTGCACAAACTATTTATTGGGAATCTGCAAGGTTTACTTTTAATTAGCATATTTATTTTTGTAGGACTGTGTAGCCATCCAAGATCAATAGAAGATGGAATCTTTTTTAAAAGATGAATTATAATCAGGAGTGGGGGAAAAAGAAATTATGAGATTCAATCTTAGAAAATGCCATAGAATTTTCTGCTTTTCTCTCTGAAATTAGGTATGAGGTTAATTTCCAAAATGGAATAGAATGTGGAGGTGCTTATGTGAAACTGCTTTCCAAAACACCAGAACTCAACTTGGTAGGTACTTCTATTTGTTTATGTAGCTAGCCACCCACAAGTTTTTAAAGAAGAATTTTAGAGAAAAGAAAAAAAAATTGAAAGACTGGTGAAAATAAAGACCTGCTGTTGAAATCTTTTGGTGGGTTGACCATATTTTTGGAGGTGGGAGGGTACTAGGGATTGATTGAACTCAGGGGCACTCAACCACTGAGTCACATTCCCATCCCTATTTTGTACTTTTTTAGAGATGGGGGTCTCACTAGTGTCTTGCTTTTGTTGAGGCTGGCTTTGAACTCTCGATTCTCCTGCCAGCCTCCCTAGCTGCTGGGATTACAGGTGTGCACCACTGCGCCTAGCTGACAGTATTGTCTTTTATACTAATTAGTTTTCATTTGAAATTTGACTTTTAAAGCTCTATTACCAACTTTTTCTCATTTCTGGTTTTGATACTGTGATTTTAAATTTTAAGCTAGCTTATTTCTTTGTTGTGAATGAAACAGTAGCTAGTTATATGTATTACTTTTTTCTTAAGCACACAATATTTTAAATTTGCTGATGTTTGGTTGGTTATTCATTTAACTGTCACTAATTTAGCTTGAGAGTGTTATAAGAGGAAATACACACTTTTTTGAAAGGTTGCTTTTGAACACTTAGACTAGAGTTACTTAAAATAATCTGTCTTTGTTTCTGAAGGATCAGTTCCACGACAAGACCCCCTATACAATTATGTTTGGTCCAGATAAATGTGGAGAGGATTATAAATTACACTTCATCTTTCGACACAAAAACCCTAAGACGGGTGTATATGAAGAAAAGCACGCTAAGAGACCAGATGCAGATCTGAAGACCTATTTTACTGATAAGAAAACACATCTTTATACATTAAGTAAGAAAAATTAGTGTTTTGGGGTTTTAAGACATTCATGTTGGTCATCTGGATAATATTCAAGCTTGCAAATGAGATTGGTGTTTTTTACTTACTGCTAGGAGCTTAATTGGTCAACTCTGAAAGAAAGCTTCTTTTCCACAGGTTGCCTGAAGACTAAAATTTGAAACAATTTTAATATTCTTTATGGGTTAGGAATGTGGCTCAGTGGTAAAATGCTTGCCTAGCATACGTGAGGTACAGGTTTCCATCCTCATCATGTAAAACAAATGAACAAAAATGCTTTTATTGGTTGGGTGTGGTGGTTCAAGTCTGTGATCCCAGCACCTACAGAGGTTAAGGTAAGAGGATCTTAAGTTCAAGGCCAGTATAAGCAAGACTCTTTCTCAAAATAAAAAAAGTACTGGGATATAGCCCAGTGGTAAAATACCCCTGGATTCAATCTTCAGTACCTGAAAAAGAAAAAGAAAGTCCCCTTATTAATTTGTTCCTTGAGTCACTCATTCCGCTTCTTTTAGTTTTTCGTTGAGAAAATGTTGAATATTAGGATGATAATATTACAGTAGAAATGTATATAACATTTTTCAAAATTATCTTTTTTATATTTGGTACTAGGGGCACTTTACCACTGAGCTACATCACCAGTCCTTTTTTATTTGAAACAAGTCTTGCAAAGTCGCTGAGAGTCTATTAAATTGTTGAGTATGACCTTGAACTTGAGCGGTCCTGCTTTGGCCTCCCAAGTTGCTGGGATGACTGGCCTGTGCCATGAACCTGGCTTCAAAATTGTCTTCATGTGGAACTTTCTTTGGAAGTTTCAGTACCTGGGCAATTAAGGTTAATTGTTTGGTTATTGGGATAGTTTTTGGTTTGTTTGTTTAAATGAACCGTTTCTTGTGGCATTGAGATCATATATAGATATGCTTTTTTCCTAAAGAATATAAATGACCTTTTTTTTTTTTTTGGTACCAGAAATTGAACCCAGGGGCGCTTAACCACAGAGCCATATCCCCAACCCTTTTCTATATTTTATTTACAGACAGGGTCTCATGAGTTGCTTCGGGCCTCACAAGGGGGAGAGGCTGGCTTTGAACTTGTGATCTTCCTGCCTCAGCCTCCTGAGCAGCTAGAATTATAGGCATATGCCAACGCTCCCAGCAAATAACCTTTTTTTATTACTAACGGAATATATATTCAGGGTATAGAAATTCAGAAGAGATAAGTAAGCAAACAAAAGACACCTAAAATTATCTGAAAAATCAATATTAGGATAATGTTTCTTCATATGTGTGTAAACATGCACATATTTAACTTTCTTTCTTAATTACACAAGAGTAAGAATTTTTTCCCAACAGTAAATGTCAGTTGTCTGTTAGAGATTTATGTGTGGGATACAGGCTTTAGCATAAATTACAGTTGAGATGCCATTATGGGCCTGGGGGTGTAGCTCAGTAGTAGAATGCCACCTTAGCATATTTGCAACCTGAGACTGACCCTTGCACTGCAAGAAAACAGTAACAACAAACAGATGCCTTTTTGGATTAAAAATTGTGTAGTCATTCTCCATTGAACTTCAGAAGTATATCTGTGGGGTCTGTGCATGTACTGCAGTGCAGAATACATGGATAGCATGCTTGAGTCACCAGTTCCATCTCTAATACTGTACAAAAAGCAAACAAATGAACGAAAATCAATTTACTTGCCTGCTGATTGGTATGTACATTCATGTTAGACCAATAATCACATTAGTTTATGTAGGTTTTTAGTGTCCATAAATGAAGTCTTTTTGTTAGAAGTTTTAACTTTTTTTTTTTAAATAAGCATTTATTTAAGAAATACTTTTTTTTAGAGAGAGAGAGAGAATTTTTTTTTTTTTTAAAGAACTTTTTTTAATATTTATTTAATTTTTTAGTTCTCGGCGGACACAACATCTTTGTTGGTATGTGGTGCTGAGGATCGAACCCGGGCCGCACGCATGCCAGGCGAGCGCGCTACCGCTTGAGCCACATCCCCAGCCCAGAAGTTTTAACTTTTTTAAAAAATTTTTTATTAATTATCGATAGACCTTTATTTATTTATTTATTTGTTTATATGTGGTGCTAAGAATCGAACCTAATGCCTCACACATGCTAGGCAAGCGTCCCACCACTGAGCCACAACCCCAGCCCCAAATTTTAACTATTTTTAAATATTCTTTTTTAGTTGTAGAAGGACATAATACCTTTATTTTATTTGTTTATTTTTATGTGGTGCCAGGGATTGAACCAGTGCTTCATACATGCTAGGCAAGCGCTCTACCACTGAGCTACAACCCCAGCGCCAGAAATTTTAACTACAGGCTGGGCACGATGGCACATGCCTGTAATCTCAGCGGCTGGGGAGGCTGAGATAGGAGGACCAAGAGTTCAAAGCCAGCCTTGGCAACAGCAAGGTGCTAAGCAACTCAATGAGACCCTGTCTCTAAATAAAATTTTAAAAGGGCTGGGAATGTGGCTCAGTGGGTGAGTGCCCCTGAGTTCAATCCCTAGCACCCCCCACTGCCAAAAAGAAGAAATTTTAACTATCATTTGTGATGATTCTTAGAAACCTGAGGAAATAGCATTTACATTTTGCAGGTCAAGAACAGTTACAATGCTCTGGGCCCCAAGAGCCAGGCATTGTTGACCATGTTCTGACCCAAATGCCTAAGGTCTTTCCTCCATGCTCTCATGTTGGTGCTTCTAGTTAGAAGTCATAATCTTTTGTGTTGTGGGGAAAGGAGCTTGGAAGTAAATATTTTTAACTTCATTTAACCTTTTTTTCAGTCTTGAATCCAGATAATAGTTTTGAAATACTAGTTGACCAGTCTGTTGTGAATAGTGGAAATCTGCTGAATGACATGACTCCGTCTGTAAACCCTTCACGAGAAATTGAGGACCCAGAAGACCGGAAACCTGAGGACTGGGATGAAAGACCCAAAATCCCAGATCCTGATGCTGTGAAGCCAGATGACTGGTGAGTCTTGGAGACCTGTCTTTGATTGTAAGGGAACATTTTATATATTCCATGTGATTTGAATAACCAAATGTTGGTCGAGTGAGATCTGATCATTTAAATACTCTATTATGCAGTGTAATCTGCATTTAAAAAAATGTAGATTATTATAGCTGAAAAAGGGGTCTTAGTGATAATCTAGATTGTTTGATATCATTTTATCAACCACAAGATTCTTTTTTTTTAAATTTTCTAGTTATAGTTGGGCACAATACCTTTATTTATTTATTTTTATGTGGTGCTGAGGATTGAACCCAAAGCCTCGTATGTGCTAGGCGAGTGCTCTACCGCTGAGCCACAACACAAAATTCTTGATTGATGATATAGTTTACCTGTGGTGACAAGATTGGTTTGTCGCAATCTCCTTGTGTAGCCATTCCAGTGCTGCTTTGTTTTATTTTTATTTGGTACTAGGGATTGAACCCAGAGCCTTGCATATGCTAAGTGCGTGCTCTGCCAGTGAGCTATATACCCTTAGCCCTGCCAGTGCTTTTAATTCATATTTAAAACTGTAGTCCTGAAATGTTGAATTTTAGTTGGAAAGTGGTCTGAGAACAAGGTGACCAGGGAGTCAGATATAGCTAACCTAGGCGTGGTTTTTCTGAGCAGGACAAAGCAAATTGTGACTTGAGGACAGAGTGGGAGTTAACTAAATGATAAAGATGGGAAAGAGCATTTCTGGTTGAAGAATGTCATTATTGCAGAAGGTAGAGGAGCATGAGTGAGCTTGACATACATGAAGGAAAATAAGTATCATATTGCCTTTTGTGTAGTGTGAAAATTGGAGACTGATGAAAAATGAAGACAAGCAGGGTCAAGCTCTCCTGTGTGGCCACATTTGAACTTAATACGGGGACTTTCAGAAATGTCAGAAAGGGAACAAAGAAATAATAAAACTGTTTTTACCATTTGTAAAAGTATCTTCCTGTGCCTAGCAATTAAATTCTAGTCGATCTTTTTTCTCCTTGAATGTTAAGATACGTATTCCTGAACTTTTATAGTACATTAGTATAAATGGTTAGTTTATATATATGGTGAACATAAGGTTTGGATTCTGCCTTATTCAGTATTATATTTCTTAATTAGCTGTTCTGTTTTGGAGGTGGGAGGGGGTGAATGTTAGATTGAAAAGATCAGGTGACTATTATATTGAGTCTTTTTAAAAAATTATTTTATTTTTGCATTTCAATTCTTAATACACCATTATACCATAATTATTATGTTAAGTCTTGAGATTCTCACACTACTGATTTGAAACTAACGTTTAAAAACAAATAATCTGGGGGCTGTGGTTGTGGTTCAACCGTTGAACACCCGCCTAGCATGTGTGTTGGGTTTGATCCTCAGCACCACATATGAATAAATAAGATAAAGGTATTGTGTCCACTACAACTAAAAAAAAATAAAATAAAATAAAGAAAAACCCTTTCTTTTTAGACAAACATTTAAAAATATTTGCTAGGGTCTTCTCATTAAGTTGTTGAGTGTCTTGCTAAGTGACTGAAACTAGCCTAGAACTTGTGACCTTCCAGCCTCAGCCTCTCAAGTAAGTAGGATTACAGGTGTACACCACCACACCCAGCTTTGTCATTTTTTATTATTATAGCCACTCTAGTATGTGTGATATGGTATCTTATTGTGGTTTTGATTTACATTTCCCTGATGTTTAATGATGAGCATCTTTTCATATGCTTATTGATTACTTAAATATTTTCTTTGAAGAAATGTCTACTTAAATTATTCGCTGGTTTTCTTTTTTCCTTTAATTTTTTTTATTCTAATTAGTCTGGTTTTCTTAAATTGGGTTATCTTCTCATTGAGTTCTAAGAGTTTATTTTGGATATTGGGCCTTTATAAAAGGTAACATGTTTACAAATGTTTGCTAGGAGAAATTATTTAAAATTTTGGCATTTAAGGCCTAAATATTTTCAGAATGTTGTTTCAGTTTCACAAACTGGAACTACTGTGATTCTCTGGACAGTGTTGTCCTAATATGAGTTTTCTTTTGTGTATAAGGGATGAAGATGCCCCTGCTAAAATACCAGATGAAGAGGCCACAAAACCTGAAGGATGGTTAGATGATGAGCCTGAATATATACCTGATCCAGATGCAGAGAAACCAGAGGATTGGTAAGAGTTTAAGATAATTTTCTATGTATTTGCTTTTTATTTTATTTTTTATGATACTGGGGATTAAACCAGGGTTTCATTCATGCTTGGCAAGTACTCTACCTCTGAATTACATCCCCAACCTTTAAGAACTTTTTTTTTATCGTGGGACAGGGTCTCCTTAAGTTGCTGAGGCTGGCTTTGAACTTGAAATTATTCTTCCTCAGCCTTCTGAGTAGCTGGCATTATAGGTGTGTGCCCTTTACCCAGTTTGAGTTAATTTTTTTCATTACCTGAATTTTTACTAAAATAAAGCTTAAATACTGCCAAGTGCTGATTTCTAAGGGGAGAATGCGATAAATTTAATTATACTTCATCATCATTTTTTTAAAAATGCATCTGTTATCAAAGCTGCTCTTACTGGAAATTAAAACAAGAGAAGATGGTTTTCTGTAGCATGACTGTGGAAGCATTCCAGCAGGATCTCAGGGCAGCACTGGGCTGGTGGGATGTTCATAGGTTTGCATCCTAGAACCCATTTGTAATTTGTTGTTTATGTCTTCATAGGGATGAGGACATGGATGGAGAATGGGAGGCTCCTCAGATTGCCAACCCTAAATGTGAGTCGGCCTCTGGGTGTGGTGTCTGGCAGCGACCAATGATTGACAACCCCAATTATAAGGGCAAATGGAAGCCTCCCATGATTGATAATCCTAACTACCAGGTTTGTGTCTCCAGAAGGTTGAGTTGCTCTCATTAATCTGTTTGTATTCAGATAAATGTTTTTCGTGTAGTGAGGCTGCCAGGTTGATCATTATATACATACAAGCTGTTGAATTAAGAGCAGAAAGTAGCTTTATTAATTGATAGGGAACTGAATGAGTTAAGTGTTGCAAAGATAAACTTAGAAACTGGAGAGAAAAGTTTTCAATACTTGTTTTATAACTGAAATTTAAGAACAAAAGGGAAATGGAAAATCTGTGGTTTGGGCACCCTGCTGTTAGGTGGCAGAGTAGAGTACTTCAGTCCTAGGATCCAGACAGATCTCAAGATTTGTGATCTATTACATGGTGGACAGAGGACTGTGATCAGGGAATTGGTACCTTGATCGTGTCAAGTCAGCTTATGCCATGGCTTTAATACCTCTACATCCATAGAAAGACTGAGGCTTATATGAAAATACATATATTGTGAAGTTATGAAATTCCAAGTTTACTGTAATAATGTACACATTAAAATCCTTGTACTCTTCATGATAAGTCATTTCCATTCTATCAAATTTATAAAGTGTAAGGTGTAAAAATAAGGTGTTAGGTATATCTAGATACATGTTCTAGATGCATGTTTTTCTGTGGTAAAATGTATTTTTTAATTGTGCACTTGGACAATTAAGATATTAAAATTGCACTCTGAAATTGCCTCTTAGCTCTTTTGTTGTTGGCCATTTAGGTGATTTGCAATTTTTGCTTTTAGGTAAGTCTAGCAGTAATCATTCCTGTAGATGTCTGGGTTTATGTAGCAAGTATTTTTCTAGGTAGTTAACTTAGATGTGAATTGCTGGTTGATGATCATGTACATTTTATTTTCCATCACTACTGAATAAGTTTGTGCTGATGCTCCCACTCCCACCAGAAGGTGTGGTGGTGAACAACTGTAATCCTAGTGACTTGGGAGGCTGAGGCAGGAGGATTGCAAGTTGAAAGCCAGACTGAGCAATTTAGTTAAGTCCAGAAAAAAACCATCAGTAGCATTTATTGTTTTCTTCCTGCTGCTCTTTGAAAATAGCCCTTAACCTCTGTTGATAATGTAGAATTTATCTTAGTTGTTTTTTTTGTTGGTCATTATTGGAAATAATTTTTTGAAACATTTTTGTTGTTTTGTTTTTAAGGGAATCTGGAAACCTCGGAAAATACCAAATCCTGATTTCTTTGAAGATCTGGAGCCTTTCAAAATGACTCCTTTTAGTGCTATTGGTTTGGAGCTGTGGTCCATGACTTCTGACATTTTTTTTGACAACTTCATCATTAGTGGGGATCGAAGAGTAGTTGATGATTGGGCCAATGATGGATGGGGCCTAAAGAAAGCAGCCGACGGAGCTGCTGAGGTGTGTGCTTTCGATTTCTTGTGCATTTATGTTATTGTAGGTAACTAATTGTTTTGTAAAAAGCTAGCATTTAGTGTCTGTCTTTTCCCTTATTTAAGAATATCGTCCTAAAAAAGTATTAGCTGTATGCCTGCTAAAAACAAAATATTGGATGTTTAGACATGATTTTATTAGTTTAATATAGTGGCTTTAGAGTCTAATTGTGTTATGTGCAAGGTATGTCTTTTAATTTGTATGTGTCTATCAAATTTTGCCATTTAAGGTATGTTTTAATTCACTCTCAAAATGTTGAATTTTGGGTTAATCCAATTCATGGATTATCAGGTAATTAGTCATGTCTCTGAACTGGGAATTTGAGAACTAGAGATACTTAGATAAGACATTCTTTAACACTGGTTCCTAATGTTAAGGGAATCTTTTGCAGGTATTTAAGAAGCTGAATTTTTGCTGGGTGCAGTTGTATGTGACTGTAATTCCAGCGATTTAGGAGGCTGAGACATTAGGATCACAAATTCAAAGCCAACCTCAGCAACTTAGTGAGACCCTGTCTCAAAATTTAAGGAAGAGTGGGTATGGGCTGGGGGATGTACCTCAGTGGTAAAGGGCCTCTGGGTTAAATCCCCAGTACCACCCTCCCACCAGTTTTTGAACCGATGAAAGTGAAGTTACTGGGATGATAAGGAGAACAGAAAAATGGAGACTTTTCTCTAATTTCCTTTTTATATTATATGAGCATCTTGGCTTGCACCCTTGAAAAAGGACGAGCCTAAGTAGCGCCGTGCCATAACTGAACAGTGGAACAAATAGTGCAGACTGTATTTGTATTTGGTGTCAGAAGCCAGAACTTCTCATCATTGCTGTTTTGTTTTTCAGCCAGGTGTAGTGGGGCAGATGCTTGAGGCAGCTGAGGAGCGCCCATGGCTCTGGGTGGTCTACATTTTGACTGTAGCTCTTCCTGTGTTCCTTGTCATCCTCTTCTGCTGTTCTGGAAAGGTAGGAGTTGTTTTTTAGGAATCATTTTTAGAAAGAGCACTTAGGATGTTAAAAATAAGTATGATATATTGGCTTGAGATTTTCTTTGTAGCAGCTCCACATTTTGAGTTGACTTCTGAACCTTATTCACTACACGTCAGTGACCATTTATTGTGCCCAGAAAGGGGTAGGATTTATAGTCCTTTAGTTGCCAGTATTTAGTCCATTGAATTATTTTTTAGTACTTGGTAGCAGAATTTTTTTTTTTTTTTTAAGAAAGAAAAAGAACAACTTATTGAAATCAGCCATCTGGGCCCAAACCAGCTTTTTCTCCTGGTATTACTATTTCCATTCTTGACCTTAATTTTGCCTTTGATTTATCATTATTCATTGCTTCCTCACTGTCCCCACTTTTCAAAATAATATATGTGGGAATACTACAGTCATGTGAGGTTTTCTTTCTTAACCCTTGTTGCATGCCCTCTGGTTCTTCTAACATTATGCTTCACCTCACATACATCACACTTTGTAGCTGGATCCCAAGTTGTTTCTAGCCTTATATACCACCTCTGTTCTGCATATCTGTGCCTGAGTTTACTTGACAAAGTAGACCTGTAAGTTTCCTACCTGACCTTTTGTTCTTACTGTTTTCTTTTACCTTAAACCATACAAAAACACTGAAGATAAAGCTCTTCAGGGTAGGAATTACATCTTTCTTGTGTCTATATATCTATCCCTGTATACAGTCTGGTATAGAACTTTGCCTGTAGGCATTCAGTAATTACATGGTAATGTAGTACATAAAAATGTGAAAGTTGTTGTACTCTGGGGAATATTTCAGAAACAGTCCAGTGCTATGGAGTACAAGAAGACTGATGCTCCTCAACCAGATGTGAAAGAAGAAGAGAAGGAGGAGGAGAAGGAAAAGGGAGATGAAGAGGAGGAAGGTGAAGAGAAACTTGGTAAGAAGTAACCTCCAAGAATCTTGCTGTAAACAAAGAAAGATGTTTCAAACCCTGACAAATAAATTTCAGTAAAATTTGCTTTAGGTAATGCTAATTATTTTAATTACCAGAATCAAATATAAGAATTTTCTCAGTTGTTTTACTCTAACTTATATCTTAGAAGAAAAACAAAAAAGTGATGCTGAAGAAGATGGGGGCACTGTCAGTCAAGAGGAGGAAGATAGAAAACCTAAAGCAGAGGTAAAAGTACAGGTTAATATTTTTTGTATTTTAAGCAACTAAGTTGAAGTTACATTTAAATAAAAGGAATATTAGGTACTTTACAATGGCTGTGACAGCAAAATTCTGTTAGAGCCAATTTTGTTAAAGTGAGATTTTAAGTGGCACAGGTAAACATCAACCTCTGTCTGAATCTCGAGTATTTTTCTGTGCTGAAAATGGTTTTCTGGAATAAGTAGAAGTTTGTAAGGAAAAAATAATAAAATGCTTTCTAAGGTGGGAACTTCAAGTTATTTTAACATTTCTGTCTTGTTGTCCCTCTCTTCACTGGGCCCTCACAAGTATTTTTTGCACCAATCACTGCATTCTAAACTTTCCCCTCCTGTTGTCCATGGATTAGTCAATTAATTCATTTAACATACTTATTGAATGTCTCTTGTGCCAGGCATTGTCAGTGAATCAGACAAAGATAACCTTGACTTTGAGGAGCTTAAATTCAGGTTGGGTGAAATAGACAATAAGCAGTAGACATTAGAAGGAAGTAAATAACAGTATATTAGATAAGCTATGAAAAATTAAGATAGAAAAAGGTAGTAGAAGTTCTGGAAGCCAATGGCTTATCATTGGAAAGATGACATTTGATCAAAGACTTGACAGAGATGAAGGACTGTTCTGTGAGGATGTCAGTGAGAAGGGCATTCTAGAGAGAATGTCTAGTACCAAGGCCTTCAGCTGTAGTCCAAAAGACAATAGCCAGTAAAGAGGGAGTGGAGAAAAGGAGTTAAGGAAGGTTACAAATAATGTGGGGCCTTATAGGCCATTATGAACTTGGCTTTTCTTTTTTATCTTTATATTGTGCTGAGGATTGAACCCAGTGCCTCACCTGGGGTAGGCGAGTGCTGTACCACTGAGCCATTACCCCGGCCCCTTGGCTTTTCCTTTTAGTGAAATGGGCAGCCATTGTGGGCATTTTCTCTAGAGTAGAAAAATCAGAGACCTGTTAAGGAGTCCCCATAATCATCTTGGAAAGCTGCAGTGGCTTTGAGCCAGGATGACAGAAGGTGTAAACTACTTGGGACTCTGGATTTTGTGGTAAATTGGATATATGAAGTAACAGAGAACAGTCTCTGTTACTACATCTTTGCTTCTAGTGTTCTTTCTCCAAGATCTCTTGTGTTTGAGTCGGGTCCATTGAGCCAAACCCAACTCCGCTTATTTTTTTTAGCTATCACATCTCTGCCTTCCTTTTGTTGCTGAAGAACAATGCTATTTATATTTTGTATGTGTGTGTGTATATACACAAACATATGTATATATGTGTATATAATTTTTAAAAAATGTTTTTAGTTTTAGATGGACACAATACTTTTATTTTTAGATGTGCTGAGGATCAAACCCAGTGCCTCACACACCAGGCAAGCTCTCTATCACCGAGCTACAACCCTGTATTTTTTTTTTAATATTTATTTTTTAGTTATAGTTGGACCAAATACTTTTATTTATCCATTTTTATGTGGCGCTGAGGATTGAACCCAGGATCCCCCCCCCCCCCCCCCCCCCCCCCCCCCCCCCNCCCTGTATTTTTTTTTTAATATTTATTTTTTAGTTATAGTTGGACCAAATACTTTTATTTATCCATTTTTATGTGGCGCTGAGGATTGAACCCAGCCCCCCCCCCCCCCCCCCCGCACATGCTAGGCGAATGCTCTACCACTGAGCTACAACCCTAGCCCTTTTTTTGTATTTTTAATGACTATGTTTTGTCTCAACTAGAATGCTTAAGGTCTTAAATGTAGGGACCATGTCTCACAAAATTTTTTATAGCTCCCAAACTGCCTCATGTGATGAAAAGTTGCTGGTATAATTTGGGAAAGCCAGTAGTTTGTTTTTGTTTGTGCTTTTGGTATCGGGAATTTAATCAGGAGTCAAATTAACCACATCCTCAGTCCTTTTTTTATTTTAGATAGGTCTTACTAAATTGCCAATGCTGGCCTTAAACTTGCAATCCTCCTGCCTCAGCCTCCCCAGTCACTGGGATTACAGGTGTGCAAGGCAGTAGTTTTAGAATAGAAAGATCACCGGACTTGTAACCTACTGTGATTATCTTCGGTTTTCTTCTGAATCCTAGGCTTCTCATCCTCAAAATGGGACTAAGTGCTTAGGGTTAAGGAACATAACATGTAAAAGCACAATGTTTGATCCATTTTACAGAAAATGTTTATGGGTTTGTTTGAGAAAAGTACCTTTTTGGGGGGGTAAATTAGACAAAGGTAGAATATATGTAATTTCACCTGGGCAGTCAGTGTTTTTTTGATGCATTTTCTTCTAAACCTAAAATGGGCTACAAAATTAGTCTTGCTAATCTTGAAAATGTAACGAACATTTGTATTTCTTTTTAAATGTGTTAATTATAGTGAATTTCTTTTCTTCTTAACCAATAGGAGGATGAAATTTTGAACAGATCGCCAAGAAACAGAAAGCCACGAAGAGAGTGAACCAATCTTAAGAACTTGATATGTGATTTTTCTCTCCCTCCCCTTCCCTTGCAAGTGTGGTCCTAGGAGAGGACCTGGCATACCTTAGGTTGAAACTCAGAAAACCTCAAGACATCACCATCAACAGGTTCCAGCCGAACACTAGTTCATGTAATTTTAAACATCTAGCAGTAAATACTTGCAAGCAGTTGTGACATAAAGGACCCTGTTTCTGTAGAAAAGAAAACATTTAACATAATGGTTGTGAAATGTAACATGAAGCAACTAACTTGTATTTTTTTTGTTTTGTTTTGTTTTAAAACAGCTTTTTAAAAATAGAATGATAGAACTTTGTCAGTCTAAAATGTTGGCTTAATTTAATATATTAATTTGTCCATTTAGAAATAACACCAACATTTAGAAATGCTATGGGGATGGATTGCATTTTTTTGTAACAAAAAAAAATTTTTTTTAAAGTTTGGTATTATAAAACATTCAAGTGTCTCTGTCCCTTAAAATTGATAATCATGTTTAAAGTGCAGTCATTTGTGGTTATAATTTTGTTTTGCTTGCTTCCATTACTTAATTCCTCCTAAGGAAATTGAAGAGAGGGATTGGATGGAAGCCCAAATTTATATAAAGATTCCATTTAAGTTGTATTAAAAATAGTCATACAAAAAGAAAAAAAAAAAAAAAGCCTTTCACTTGATGTTGGGTAGACCATAAAGTGCATGTGTTCTGTTGCCCTTGGAACTGCTCAGTTCCCAGACAGCTTTGCAGTTAGTGGAGGAGGTGGCTTAAATGCAACACTTGGGCATTCGTACTGCACACACAGGGAGTCTCTGGGCTCCTGCCTTTTGGAGCAGGTGGCTTTTAAGGAACTCTGGCAGGGTATGTGGGCTCCAAAGTAGATGTTTCTATCACTTGTTCCACTGTGTTGACACTGTTTTCCTTACCTATTTCCCCTAATTCCCAGCTTTGTCCTCTGCTATGCATTTTCTTCACAGAGCAGCTTGCAGTCCGTTGCTGAAAATTATTATAAAGCTCTGCATAGTGTTAAGCTTTATTGTGATTAAGTGTATGTTTTTTTTTTTTTTTTTTTAATGTAAGCAGACCCACACCTTTCCAGGGTCAAAGTACAGGATAGAATACAAACTTTAATTTTTATCCATGTCTTTTACTCTGTGTAAAGATTTTAAAAGTCAAATCCAAAGGCAGGCCAACACCGAATTGAGWGTAATTTGAACACAGGCTAAAAGTATTTATGGGAGGAGTGACATATAGCATGAGTTACCTGATTTTTGTGGAATATTTTAAGTTTTCATTTTCAATTCATGTAACAGTTGTCTTACATAATAAAACAGAAAACAGCCCTGTTCAATTTTTTTTTTAAATGTGGCTTGAAGAATTTTTTTCAAAAGTGAATTTAGGTTTTCTTTTTTTTTCCATGTGGAATGCAGATGGGTGCTATCAGAGCCTCTCCCCCATCACTATAGTACAATAATATCACCATTACACCACACTGAAATGTATTCAGAAAGATGTTTCAGCTTTATTCTTCAGAGGTGTTTCAGTCATACTGATGATACTGTTCTTTGCACTGAATATATAAACACTATATAAACACTCCACAGTGTTTATATTAGGGAGATGTTGGGGAGGAACTATATTTGTAAAAGAGGATGGTTGGATCTATTTACTTTATTCCCCACCCCCCATACACACAGTGATTCACTTAAATTCTTTTGAGGGTGGGTTGCATTTTTCTTCGTGTTGAGTGCTTTATCCTTCTTATCTGTTGTTCTTTGGTCACGGTGACCTTAGCTATGTAGCACACTTTCCCACATGTATTGAGTACAAATAAACAGTTACTTAGCAAGACCTGAAAATATGTCTGCAGATTTCTCCTTGCAGTAAATGTGTGGGGATCATTGGATTTCCAGAAATCTGCCACCTTCATTCTCTATTGACATTGTATTTCATGCCTACTTCCTTCTTCCCACTGAGCTATGAAATGACAGGTTTAAATCATTAGTGTTGATTGCCATTACAGGATTATTCAGCAAAATTTCTTCAAAATTCCTTTTGTCTCCCCACCCCACCCCCCTTTCAGTTTTTGAAGGTGCAGCTTCCTGGTTGAATGTCTGGCACATTAATGAATGACCAGCAGTTTTCAGCTCTTAAAAAGGCACTTATATTTGGATTTCCTGGTTACCTGTCCCATTGTTGTAAACTGCCCACTCTATCAGATGTAATCCTCCATTTTTCTTATCCACAAGTACTCTTCACCTTTTTCAAACTGTCATGTTACTAAATGGTGTTACATTAAAGTCCCTGTGTTAAGTGTCTGCTTTTGACTCAACTTCTTCATAATAACCTGTTTCAGTAGTGGGTTAATTTTTCTTTCATTGGTTACTATATGAGAATTTGCTAATATATGGAAATTGTTATGAACAGTGAAATAATTATGACATCAGTTTGATCCAATCTTATATTTATTTAGCTCTTGCCTCTTCCTTCCCAATTGCGGTTCAGTAGTTTCTGCTGTAAAAGGAGGCGGTGCTACTGGTAATTTATAGATAATCTTTAATATTTATGGCGGCCCGTTAAACTTAAATTTTTATTAGAAAATAATCGTTTTTCAGAATCAGACTCCATAGTTAAAATACTCTTGGCATAACTTTAGAAAAAACTTAATGTGCTTATTAAGCTTTTAGATTTGCTTACTAAAGTATCAAAAAATAAGCAGTGCTCCTAGTTGCGTTTTTTTTGTTTTTTTAAAGAAGCCGTTTGGGGGCTAGGGATGTAGCTCCAGTGGTAGAGCGCTGGAGGACCTGGGTTCAATCCCCATCAGTGCAAACAAGATGAAAATAATAAATGTTTGAGCTGTTAATGGTGTCTTCCAATTTACAGCCTCCTAGCATCTCCTGTGTAACCTTTTTAGCAATTGGGGTGCCATTACCATTACGTGTTCTAATATCTTGGTCCCACACACCAATTAGTTGTAGAATTAACTTTTCAACGTTCCTGTTTCCTTCCCCCACTCCTTTACAGTAGCCACTCTCCTTTGCCTACTAGTTAAGATTACTGGAGCCCAAATGGTGGTTGCGTTTTGTTGAGTGCCTCACTATAACCTATCTTTTAAGAGTGAAACTTCGCAGTCCAGGCTCCCTGTGTATTGAACTAGTCCTTTGCAATTCCAGTCCCCAATAATGGAGCTGGATGTGAGCCTACATCCTCTTTCTTCTGCTCTGTAAATGAAACTTCTTAAGACTTCTGTAAGCCGAAATTTACAGTCCGAATGTTTCAGAATGGTGCAGAAGGAAATCTCTACCAGCCAACTGGTGGATAATTCTGGCCAGTCACGGTTGGATATAAGTAATGAGGTCAAAGAAAAACGGCTTGAAATAGCGTGGCATCTTTGAAATTATCAAACCGAATTCAAAAAGAAGAAAATGGTGAAGCGCAGTACTGCCAGGTAGACATCTGGGTCTAGGTAGTTAAGCCCTTGTCGGATTTACCCCGCTTTTCTCGGGGGACCCGGAAGGGCCTGCCTTCAGGGCGCGGTGTTCAGGAGACCTGTCTCCTCCAGTTTGGGTTCCTGTCAATCATAGCAGACCCTGTCTCAGGACTGCGGCCCTCCCCGGGGGTACCCCTAGCCCCTCACTTGAGAGTTCCCTTTAAATACCGCTCTGGAGACCAAGAGCACCTCTTACGTTCTCATCCCCACGCCCTTCGGCGGCCGGTTCTTCCTCCTTTGATTGGTCGGAGTTCCTGTTCATCGCCCGTGACGCGAGAGGTCGCCGGCCGGGACCCCGCCCTCTTCMTAGAGCCCCGAAAACAATTTTAAGATGGCGGCGGCGGCGGCGCGGAAAACAATGGGGCCGGGGCGGAGGGGACAGGCCAAGGCCTGAGGTGGCAGCGAAGGCCGGTCCGGGGTTGGGCAGAAGGAAGATCCGCCGCCGCGCGCGAGTCCGCTCCGCGGCCCGTGGGGGCATGGCGCGGCCGTGAGGCGTACCGGAGAGCGAAGCCCACAGTGCCAGCCGGCCCCGAGAGGCCCGGCCCCGTGCCTGGCCCGTGCAGCTCGCGGCCCATGGTGCTGCCCACTTGCCCCATGGCGGAGTTCGCGCTGCCGCGGCACAGCGCGGTCATGGAGCGCCTCCGCCGGCGCATAGAGCTGTGCCGGCGCCACCACAGCACCTGCGAGGCCCGCTACGAGGCCGTGTCGCCTGAGCGCCTGGAGCTCGAGCGCCAGCACACCTTCGCCCTGCACCAGCGCTGCATCCAGGCCAAGGCCAAGCGTGCCGGCAAGCACCGGCAGCCGCCGGCCACGGCACCAGCCCCGGCGCCCGCTCCGGCCCCAGCGCCAGCCGCACCAGCCCCGGCCCAGCGCCTGGACGCTGCCGACGGCCCCGAGCACGGCCGTCCGGTCGCGGTGAGTAGGGCAGGCACTGGTTTCGGTGGCAGCTCCTTCTCCCGAAAATACTTCCCTGGGCGCGGATCGGGCCTCTGGGAAACTTCCCCGTGCGCCCGCAACTCCTGGGTTTGGCTCCAGGGAGGATAACATGGCAGGGAACTATGCAGTTGTCATCTTCGGGAAATGGCACTGTGGCATTACTTTGGAAAACATTACTGGAGGACTTTGCAGGAGGCCTGGGCTGGGAAGGCTGAAGAACGTTAGCTGGAAGATTTTCTTCCGGACTTGATTCCGAAATACTGAGAAATTTATTTTGGAACAGACTAGCATTCGAGTTGCTTGTGATGTAAAGAACTCTTGTACAGTAGGCCTAGCTTCATTTATTCTGCAAATGTTGATTGGGTCTTTGCTCTTTGCAAAGTCCTGTGCTATAAGCAGGGTCAAGGGCTTTAACATGGAAATGAGTCAACCTTCATTTGACCAAATCTAACTGCTTCTGCATGGAAAATCAAAAAACCTTAGTAAAATCATAGTGCTGTTCATTGGATTCCATGAAAGTAGTCCTTGTATAGGAACACCGAAATTTGTGGACTAGAAATTCCTGAAAGTTGTCGACAATTCCAATTTTAACTTCCAAGGGTTGTTTAATATTTCTGATGATATTAGATAGTTGTTGGCAAATTGTTATACCCTTTGTGTTCTCAGTAGGTATTATAATCTACAATTTATCCTTCAGAATTTTTTTAATTGTTTTTATGGGGTTTTTGGTAGTTTAAAGTTTAAAGCAATTGTGTTTTATCTCTCACCTGGGGGTATAGTATTATTACTCTTTCCTAACTATTAGGTCTTTCAACTTTTAGTCTTTTTTTCCTTTCTCTCTAAATGCTACAACCTTTTTATTGCTTGAAGGAATGAAGTTCAATTTCTTTGGCACCAGTTTGACCCAACCAATCTTTACATGTCCCCTACAGATCCTCTGCTCTGGTTGAGTTACTGTCTCATTCTCTCCCACACAAACTTCTACTGCTGGATTTAAAGACAGAATATCTTGATTAAAACCCAGGTTTCATTGCTCATTGTATTGACTATTGAGTGGTCTCATCCTTTTTTTCTTGCCTGTAAATTTTATAAGGGTTATTGTTAAATTCAAATATAAATTCAAAATAAATGAGTATGGATATGAAAGTATTTAGAAAACTGAAAGTCTGCGTGCAGGACCTTCTTCAATACCATTCAGAAGCCTGCCATCCTGCTCACCTCCTTCCTTTCCTTTAAAGCTAGTTTCTGACCACCCTAATTCACAGCAGTCAGAATCTGCTTTCAAAACTTTTAGGAAATATATTATCTAGGTTATTTATTTGCACTAGTCACATATCACTTTAGTGACATATTATATCTTGCCAACTAGACTGTAAGTTCTTGGAGGCAGAGAGGGTCAGTCCTGTACATATCTTAGACCTTCAGCATGTGTTCTCAGCATGTGTTTGTACAGTGACTTACTATTAGATTTGGTGCTATTTCTATAGTACTCTAACTTCAAATGAACAAAATAGCTTAAATTCATGAGCCATCTTTGCTAATAATTCTTGAGATTTTTAGGAATAATGGGTGATTATTCCAAATGAAGTAATAATGAAAGCTTATTAAAAAAAAAATCATAGTTTTGTCAACCGCGCGACCAGCACGCTAGCTTCATACTAGAGGTTCTTAGCATAGAAGTTAACTATTGAGATCAAAATAAACCCACAAACTCAATTTACCTTTTTCTTTGACCAGGTCTGAGACGGCCCTCCCTCTGGCTCCTGCCTTAAGCCACCTGTGGGGCAGCGAGGCTTACTCAGGACTAGCAGGAGAGAGCGAGAGAGAGGCAGGGCACGCCAGAGAATGGCCTTTTATTGGGGAACAAGAAATTCAGAGGAAAATTACATCCAATGAAGGTCGAGGGGGACAGCATTCCAAGGTCAGGGTCAGTGATTGGTCTCAGGGTCAGTGGTCAGTCACACTCCCACACGGATGGGCTCTCGCACCTAGAGAGGGTGGAGATTAGTTCTAACACAGTTTAGCCTGAATGCCTCACACCCAGTCAGGGAGGTGCCCTATCACATGCGAGAATGGCTGGGTAAGGTGGTGCATGCCTGTAATTCTAGCAGTTCAGAAGGCTGAGAAAGGCAGAACTGGAGTTCAAAGCTAGCCTCAGCAACTTAGCATGGCACTTAGCAACTCAGTGAGACCCTGTTTCTAAATAAAATATAAAAAGGAATGTGGCTCAGTGGTTAAGAATCCTGGGTTCAATCCTCAGTACCAAAAAAAAAAAAAAAGAAAGAAAGAAAATAAAAAAATCATAGTTTTACATTCAAATAGTTGCTTTGAACACCCCCTAGAAAGTGTATTAATAGCAATTCCATCTGTTTAAGACTATGGTAAGAGTTTAGAATTTTTGTGTCTCACTGTCAAACAAACACACACACTCCAAAACATATATATGAATCCCTGGAGGGAAATTGGGTGCATACCAATTTTTTTTTTGGTCAGTATACCTTATATTTATTTAAAATCCAGTGCCTCACACATGCTAGGCAAGTGCTCTACCACTGAGCCACAACCCCAGCCCCACACACCAATTTTTGAAGAGAAATTAATTCAGAGTGTTTTCCGACTTGAATCTGGCTTGCAAGTAACTCCTTTGGGTTTCAGAACCTGATCAGATATGCTGAACTGGGTTGATGTCCTATCATATTAAACCTTCAAGCATGGGTTTCATGAAACTTTACAGTGGGTGGTGCTCTTCTTTTTCTCTTCTGGGAGAAGGGAGCTTTTTTGGTTTTGTTTTTGGTGTTTTTGGTACCAGGAATTGAACTCAGGGAACTCGACCACTGAGCCACATCCCCAGTCCTATTTTGTATGTTATTCAGAGGCAGGGTCTCATTGAGTTGCATAATGCCTTGCTTTTGCTGAGGCTGGCTTTGAACTCATGATTCTCCTGTCTCAGACTTCTGAGCCCCTGGGATTACAAATGTGGCCACCACAGCCAGCAGAAGGGACCCTTTTTACTGCAGGCTCCAAGTGATTATAGCTAAGCTGTTTTGCCTTGGAATGGGGTCCAGAAGATGAGTATCACTAAGAAAGCAGTGGTATTTTCCATTTTAATGGCTCCTTCAGTTCAAGAGGTAGAGAAAATTCTTGCCTGTGATTTTTTTTTTAAACTTTTTTTTTTAATATTTATTTTTTAGTTATTGGCGGACACAACATCTTTGTTTGTATGTGGTGCTGAGGATCGAACCCCGGCCGCATGCACGCCAGACGAGCGCGCTACCGCTTGAGCCACCTCCCCAGCCCCTGTGATTTTTTTTTAATATAAGTTTTTTTTAATGCCTTCATTTTGTTTATTTGTTTATTTATTTTTTAATGTGGTACTGAGGATTGAACCCAGTGCCTCACAGGTGCGAGGCAAGCACTCTACCAATAGGTCACAATCCCAGCTCCTTGCCTGTGCCTTTTAACTTGGAGAGCATAGCTTTGCATAGAAAGATGGAAAAGAGAAGGGGCTGCTTAGTCAATGTGTTGTTTTTGTTTGTTTGTTTGTTTGCTTTGTGGTATTGGGGATTGAGCCCAGAGACATTCTACCACCGAGCTACATCCCCAGTCCGTTTTTTTATTTTTATTTTGAGACAGGGTCTCAACTAAGTAGCTGAGGTTGGCCTCAAACTTGGCCATCCTCCTGTGTCAGTCTACCCAGTAGCTGGGATTATAAGCATTCACCACCAGTCCAACTCATTGTTATTTCTGACAACTCTGCATGTGTATTTGATCTCATTAATATTCCATACAGAAGGAATATTATTCTTAGTTTTTTCTAAGAGTGCTATGTATTGTTAGGTAGTCGTTTCTTAGCCATAGTTACCTAATTGGCAAACCTTTTGTGTAACTCAAAAGGGATCAGATGTTACTATAAGAGTTCACCTTCACCTGAGGTATTTTCTTCTTAGGATATCCCCCTGACACACGCCACACCACACATACACATACACACAGCAAAGGCTTAACCACCGTCTGCTTGCTCTGTTAGACATGAATCAGGAACAGTGCCTCAGACTTTTTCTGTCCTGGTTATTAAGGAATGAGCCTATTAGATTTTTCTTTATACTCTCTGCTTTTGGAAAACAAATAGTATTCTAATGACAGGATTTACTTCTTTTTTATTGGGAATGCTGAATTATAGAGAACTATCCACCCAATTCAGGCAAATATTCATTTGGTAAGTGAAAATAACTTTTCACTTACTTGAGCATTTTCTTTCTTTAGTAAAATGCTATAAAGGATTAGTCCTAGTCTCTTTATCAACCATTGTTAGACTTCTGCTGATGAGCAGAGAGGAACTTACCAAGTGGTTGTGATGGTTGACAAAGAAATTTGACCGTTGCATGCCAACCATTCATCATGGAATTTGCTTTCCCTACTTGGTTTAAGTATGTGCAATTTCTCTCTCTTTTTTTTTTTTTACCTTTTATTTATAAATAATTTCTGACTTAGAGAAAAGCTACACAAATAGTACAACAAACATTGCATAACCTTTACCTAAATTCATCTATTGTCTGTTGTGCCCGTTGTTTTATCATTTGCACAATTCCTCTCTTTCCTTCCTCTCTACACTTTGAACCGCCTGAAGATGCATACCTCCTGACTGTCTAACTGTGAGAACTCCAGTTTATACCTTCTAAGAGTTAAAAATGTATGTACAGTTTAATAATGATTTTTGTAGGCTAAACTCATATAAGAATTATAGAAATAAATTATTTCCAGAGAGTACATATTTCTGAACATGAAAACAGATATCATACTGTCATCATGTGGGATTTTTTTTTTTTTTAAGATGACTCTTTTGAAAAAAAAAAAAGATGACTCTTTTGGCTTTAGGATCCCATCTCATTTCTTCCTACATCTGGGACCCTGTTCTAGCAGACTAGCATGTTTAGTATCTCCTTCCCTTCTGAGTCCTTCCTTTCAGCTTGAAAACATGC